GTAATCATGGAAATGAGGGAGATTGTGGTCAGGTCCTTCACTTCTCATTTCTTTTTCTTTCCAGCAGTCTGTTAGTATCTTTCTTAATTTCTTCTGCTTTCCTGCTTTGATATTACTTTGCTTATGAGCATAACTGAATACATGTACTACTGTGACACTTATTTTGAGTTCTCTTTAATATGTTTGTTGTGGCCTTTTCTTCATGGCTTCAGAATCCCCTTGATTTATTCTGAATCTTTATTGTTCTGTCTTTCCCACGTACATTTTGGCAAACCCAGAGGTTGGATTTTACCCTGGAAAGATACTGACCCTGTAATGCTGCATGAAGTGTGCAGTGTGTGTGTGTGTGTGTGTGTGTGTGTGTGCAGGATGAAAGAGCAGTAAGATGGAAATTCACAGGACTCATAGTGGGTAAAGATATGGTGTCTGAAAGTCTGAGTCTCCACCTGCAGAAGGATTTATAGGGACAAATGGGATGCATCATCTTGACTGAAGGCTTTCAAGAATTTTCTCACTCAAGCACGTAATTAAGACAGCCTTTGCCTGTACTAAAAAGCAGCCTTGAAGTCACCTCTTTTAAACTCTGGTATATTTGACATATTTTTTTAAAATATAAAGAAATTATCTTTCTGATCTTGTAGAAGGAACTTTGGGTTCACAGTACTATATTAAAACTATATTCAGTGGTTGATGGCTATAAATAATAAATATAAAATGTATTGTTCAAACACAGGTAAAAATTGTGCTAGTGTTTGTAACCAAGTGTGGATTGGGAATTCCTCGTCAGCTCACATGTTCATCATTTTTGCTGCTTGGAAGCACATGGGTTTATTGTGCAGACTATCCCGATTCCTTAAGGACAGTGGTTGTGTTTGAAGTATGTAGTATGTTTGACTTAAGAACTAATGTGTTTGATATTTAAGAACCTGGCAAGAGAAAGCTATTTACCCAAATGTATGATCAGAAATGAGATTGGAACGCAAGCATGTGTAACTGTTATTTTCCTCTGCCTGTACCATCCCTAGAAAGCCATATGCCTACCCCTAGGCTGGCTTGATGGGAGTCTGTATTAATGATCATGAGCTAGAAATAATCCAGGAGGAGTTGAGTGGCCCTTGCTCCTAGCTCTTTGAGAAAATACCTCGTGGACTCAGTAGGATCTGAAATATGTTCTGGGATAGGAAGTCATAATTAATTATAGAATTTCCCAATGCCCTTTCTTGGGAGTTCTTTTTCTTTTGGCTGAATTAGTGCAAGTCTTGTGGAGTCTTACATCTAACAGTCTGAGTGGAGATTTAAGCAAGGAGATGAAGATTTAGAGGGAGTTGTTGACTCACCTGCTATCAGCAATAAGCATCTTGGGTGTACAGCTAGAGAGCAAACACTGTAAGATTCCTATAGACATTGGGTGCTTGTCTGTTGGCAGCCTGCAAAATGGAAACTGTGTGTACGTGAATAAAAGTGGTGATGGGAAAAGAGAACGTGGCAGTAGGCTGGAGCATTAAAGCAAGCCATGAAAGCAGATGGTTTACTTTAGATTTTATAAAATAGGCTTCCTTTCATTTGTTGTAAATGAAAACTATCAACTGTCAGTAATGCAAACCTATCTTCTGCAGTGCCGTATCTATTAGAATTGCAGTTGTCCCTGTATTGTAAAAGGGCAGAGGGTTTTTCTGATGATTCCCTTCTTCATATTTGTAGAATCATGTGTGCTCTGTATACTTTAGTTGAGCAGTTTTGTAACAGCCTTGTCTCAAAATGGCTTGCTGTTCAGTTGTCTCTTTGTGCTTACTTTCCTGTGTCAGTTGGTTACATTTCTGACTTTCATTACATTTAATATTGATAGTACTTCGATTTTCCACTGAACTAGAAGTGTTTAAGGGTCTGGAGTGGGTACTGAATATTTATTCTTGAAATTCTTTAGCTCCTACCATAATGGTAAAGCTCGGAGTTGGATTATTGCCTTATGGAGAAATGACTCTTTGCTTATTCAGTGATGATGTCTGGTCATCAAGATGTTAGAATATGTGCTGCAAAGCTCTTTATATATCGATATGAATGCAAAAGTTGTTGCCAACAGCTGTCTAAGGTTTTGGGCACCTGCTGCCTCTCATTTCTTACATATCCCACTCTATCTTTGACTCCTGAAGTTGGCAGTGCCCATAAAATTATTCCGTGTTCAGATCTCAAGCAGATCACTACCAATCTGGTAGTCTGAATTCCTGAGTCACTGGTCATGCTGTAGTCAGATTAATTATAGAGCAGCATCACTGCCCATGGCAAGGTGATGGACATCCAGGTTCAGACTGATTTTGCTCAGGTTCCAAAGGTGTTGCCTGTCCTCAGGCCACTTCATCATGCACATCCCTTTGTCCAACATTACCCACTGCAGAACCATATTCTGATTGCTAAGCACTGTTTTCATGTTTCTTCAGAGTATGATGGGCACAAGAGAAGTGTAGGTGGTGCTGTGTATGAGTCGGGTAAGAGGAAACGCTGAGAATTGCCCATAAGTATGAAATGCTATTTTGACACAGTATTCATGACTTCATTGATAGGTGGGAAAACATCCCCTGCTTGCAGAACCAGTGTTCAAATGTGAAGTTTTCAGACATATGGATGCATTGCTGCCGTTCTTCCCATATCCAACCACAGTCCACTTTAAGCAGACCGTGTCACATTTTTTCCTCTATAAATACCTTGGATGGGGGTTGTTGATTTGGCCCCAGGTCCCATTTCAATAATAACCATTTGCTTCTGCTACAGTCAAAGGGAATGTCTTGGTTTGATTTTGACCCCAATAGTGAAGTTCAATATTTGTTCAGCTGTCCATTGGGTTATCCAAGTAACCCACCTGCTGTAGCAGAAGAGTACCAGTAGTATTGACTGAGGGTGCTAAGTGATGGCTTGTGTCCCAGGGCAGGGATTATAATGCTCACACCCCCAACTGGGAGCTGGAAGTGGAATTTGTTTGGTTAGGAAGCCAGATGTTACTAATTCCTTACACAGTGAACTTAAACTTTGAAAATACTGTTGGTTGCACTGCGTCTCCTATTATCAGCGATGATAAATGCAAGTCTACTAAAAATTTTGGCTCAGACTTAAGTAGTAGTACAATTTAAACCAGTGGCTTGGGTTTTCATTTTTGTGTTTTATTATATTTCATTTAGCCTGTGCTTCACTCCAAGCACAATTATTTTTTCAGCTCAGGAATATTTCCTATTGCATCAAAACCTGTTTTAAGTTTCCTCTTCCCTTTCACTGCACTACATCCATCTGTTCCTGTTGTAATAATTTTTCTTCCTCCTCGAAGGTGACAAAATTAAAGCCTGTGGCAGTACTGGCAGAACAAATGCCCTGAGGTTAGCAGCAGTGTAGTTCTACTGTTGTGCATTAGAGTCAATAGGCATACAACAGGAATCGCATCTTAGCGAGGCATTTCTTCTTCTTGTTCTCTTCTTAGCAACTGTTCAGTGTTACTGAGTCAGTGCCCTGTGGTTATTTTGTCGTGGAAGTATTTGTCCACCAGGAACATGTCAGTCAGTGGCTTAGGTGTCCCAAGGATGACATCCACATCCAGTAGTGAGCTGCTGGTACGTGTGCCCTACCTGCCAAAATAATCATGCCATAAAGAGTCCTGTTTTTTTCTGTCCATCTGCTGAGGATGGACAGCCTTGCTATTGCGAAGGTGTTGCTAAAACACTAAGCACATCTGTCCAGATGTAAAAATCAGTGGGAAGAGAAATGTTATTCAGATCAGGCATTTGTCAAGATGGGTCAGTGATTGCTGGTCAACACCTGTTGTGTGTCAGTTTGTTTGGCCAAGGACTTGATGTCAGTACATCAAACCTGTCTGCAGGAAGGTGTGGGCTTCCCCTGGCTGAACTGGAGATGTTTTGTCCCACCCCTCCCAGCTGTTGTGAATGATGAGGGTAGGCAATGCACACAGTGGATGGCACCTCACCCCTCGCTTACCTGATGTAGCTGCTCTGTGCCTTTAGAATGATGGCAGATCTCATACACATTTCACTCTGCTGTCTGCTCCCCCTGGCACTGAACTGTGACCAGGAGGAAGGTTCCTCCTGCCCTGTCAACATCTCCCAAATAAATAATCATCATCATAACAGCTGGCCTTTGTTGAGTTCCTGCTTAGTGAGAGTGCTGCTGATTGAATGGGGCCCTGAGAGGCAGGGTGGGCTTGCAGCCCTTGACAACAAATGAGAGCCTCATAAATGCCTTGGCTTCAGAGGGAGGTGTTTATGGGCATGAAATGTTTATCATCTTGCACTTGCTTTGCTGCTGCTGGGTTACTGTGCAAGTCAAAAGTAGTAATGAGTAAAAAAGAGGCAACACTGCAGCCTGCTGGATCTGCTTGGCTTGCTAACAAATGAAGGAGCAGGTGAGGTCAGCTTGGATTGGGGAAAATATTTGGAATGTGCATGAAGTAGTAGTTGATCCCCTTTGAAGGAGTAACCCCCCCAGCCAACTGGCTTTCTGTTGGGAGGCACTCTGAAGTTCTCATGTAAAGAAGATTACTGGCTATTGAGGTCAACTTACGTATTCCAAACTGCCTTGGCAAAAAGATGCATGTTCTTCATGGGGAGTTTGAGATGTGTGGCTGTTGGTCTCCTCCTTTCAAGTACGCCCAGCACTGCCCCGTCCACTGGTGTGTGTTGTGGATAACGTTGTGCCTTGTGTGACACCCTGGCTGCTGCACAGCTGTCTGTTCTTAGCCCTGCTCTGTGGGGGGATCCTGCCTCAGCCTTCAGGAGGTTTGCTTTGTTTTTATTTTGGGGGATGTATGCTCCTGCTTTAATAGCGCAGTTCCCAACAGGGGACAGCACTGCACTATTTAAGATGCTAGTCATTTTTAAGGAACTTTTCTAAACTTGTCACACTAAAAGCTACATTGTGCAGCAGCAGGCGGCCTCCATAAATCACTGATTTCTCTTTTTCTTCTCTTTTCCTTCCTTTTTCTCTTGCGCTCTCTTTATTCCAAGCCTGAGGATTTGGACGCCTGGGTAAGCGCTCTTTTTTTTTGTCTGGATCTTGCTTATTCCAAGTGTCATGTTGTTACTGTGTGCGTACAGATTGTTATTGCTGAGCACAGATGCAGGATTTTATTTTCTGTCATTACATTTTAAAAGGTGTTCAGCTAGAAAATTGCATATTATTTCCTCCATAAAGGTTTCACTGGTTCCTTTTGTGTAGCTTACAGCTGCTGAAACCAAACTTGATCTGGTGGTGTGTGTAGCTGTGAACTCAGTGGCAGAAACAGGAGGAAATGAAGGTTACACCAGTACTGCTTTTTAAGGCTGTAAGGCTGCATCTGGAGTCTAAAACAAAGAAAGCAGTCACCAGCCTTCAAGAGAATGAGAGAAAGGGGACAAAAAGCAAGTGGTGTGGTAGGCCTTGCCTGTTTGGAATGGTGACTGCAGGCAGCTCTGCATTGTTGGTGATATTTCTGCTGACACAAATGGAAGTTCAGTCAATGCTCCCCCATGGTTGCTGCTCTGGTACAGCCCTCCCTGTGGAGTTTGCTGCTTACTGTGGAGCATGAAGTGTGCAGGCTGCCCCTTGCTGCTCGTGTTGTCCTGTCAGCCCTGCTGTTCTCCTTAGGCTTGGCCAGGAGTGTGCCAACCAGCTGATTTTGGACGTAGTCCTGTACTTCAGTGCATTGCTGTCAATTCCTTTGTCTCCTCTTGGAGCCTTTAATAGTATTTGTTTTTCTCCCCTGCCTCCTGGACTGCTGCCAGGACTGGAAGAGACATTGGAAAGCATGAAGTGTAAGAACTCTAGAATGGTGAAGCGTGGCAGATTGAGGTACCCAGCCCTAACGTCTGCTGTGCTACTGCAGGGATGTTGGTGGGCACCTCTGGAGGAAGCTGGCGACTGCTCTCAGCAAAGTGCAGAACCAAAGCATCTGATAGAGACTTCAGGACCTTTTTTTTTTTTTTTTTTTTTATCCCTGTAGTTTGTTTCCTAGGGTTGCCTCTGACTGACACTCTGGGTGTCATCTCTCTTGTTCCTCTGTGACTGGTGAATGTTTGGCTAAGAAGAAGATAAGTTCTTTTGCAATAACCTTGCCAGGTGCTCTGACTTACTTCTGAGGAAGTAGATTGAGGTATGCAGCATCCCTTCTAGACTGAGTCTCCCTTTCTAGAGATGGGGCTGTTTTTTCCCAGTAGTCTTTTCCATGCTGTCTCCCAGCAGCACTGCAGGTCTCCAGCAGCTGCAGGCTGTGCTCTTGCTGCACTTGATTCCCGCATGCTGCATTGCCTGCTGTAACCTAACCCTGCCAAGAAGCCCTTCCAAAGCAGACTTCCTTTTTAGTTTTCACATTTAACAAGGTGATGAGAAGGAAACTGTGATTAAGAGTCATAAAACTCTGCTGTTATTTCACAGAGGAAAACCAAAGCTGATTTGTGAATGGACGTAGCTAGAGTGAAGCCTGGCTCTACAAGACCAGGTGCACAGCATGTTGAGCTGTGTGTTGGCTGCAGCTCAGGATGAGGCTCAGTTTCTTGTTCTGTTCAGACAGAACCAATAATTCATCAGCTCAATTAAGAGATTTGCAAAATATTTCTTTTGGCCTGGCTGTCAGCTAGCAGGCCAGTGCTTGGATTCTTCAGCAGAGCCAATATGTAATGCACAGCTCTAGAGATGTGCTGTCACAGGTGGTATCTAAATGGACACTGCATAAAGGGTGGGGAGGAGGCAGGGAGTTGCACACGCCTGTGCCCCAGCTCTTTGTTGTGTTTCAGGGTGGCATGCAGATAACTCGAGAAACTTTGGGCTGTGAAAAGAGTGTGAAGATTTAAAAAGTAGGTAGAACTTGAAATAGCCCCCAGCTGGTCCAGGTATGCATGCACCTGGAAGCTGTAGCAGTGTGCTTGTAGCTTATCTTCACTGTCCTTTTGTAGGGATTCAATGCTTTTAATTTCATTACAAAGAGTTCGTGAGCACTTCCTAAATGTATCTGGTGGTTTTGTGCAGAGGGAAATTGCTTGTTGCATACATTCTGTTTTGCAAATATTTGTCCTGTTTTACTATTCAGAATTTAGAGTCCATTTGAATATTCTACAATCAACTGCAATGTGCCTCCCTTCCCTCCTTGTTTTTTCTCACTCCTCCTTGATATGACAGCCTGTGTTCTACAGTACAGTTTCTTAGATGTCATCTCCCTGCTTTGGTCATCTCTTGCATGCCACGTTCCAGCTCAGATGTCATTTCTGCAGCGTGGATGAGAAATGCAGTTTTCCAATATCTGATTTTCAAACCTCTGTCTTATCATGCATATCTTTCCTCCTTCTTCCATTCTTTATTTTTAAAGGCCTTTATGTGAAAAGTGTTTCTGATGCTTTGTTTCCCACCTGCGATCTCAGTCCCCTGTGAATTTGTAATCATCTCTGGCAGCCAGTTCTGTCTGGGACATCACAGGCTTCTGAGTTCAGGTAGGGAATAGGAGGCACTCTAGAGGAGTAGAGGACTAGAGGAAGTCTTAATAAATATCCTATGTTCATTGAAAATGTCCCCTGCTGTCTAGCCCAGTTTGGAACAGTGAATATTTCAAGTGATGTACACCCTGACTGTACCATTCATACTTCAAACATCATCATGAAGTGTGTAAAGTTTCTGGTAATAACAGCTGGGAGTAGAGGGAAACAGAAGCAACTTCCAAGCAGATATTTCACTCCATAGAATGTTTCTCAGTATACTTGAGCAGCTCTTTGAAACACTGAAAACATGTTTGAATTGTGAGTAAAAATTTGCACTGCAAACTCTGGTTCATCGTGCAATTTAATGGTGGTAACGTGGGATTATCTGGGAAATAGAATGGTGTGTATGCTAAGGTCTTGATGCCAGCATTGTTGTAAGTACTTTTTTGTTCTCAGAGAAGTCTGCTACCCCAGAAGAGTAGCACTGCCATGTAATTCATTTGCTTGGACTACGGAGACACTTTCTTGTGTTTTGTAGCATTGATCTTTTGACTGTTTTCATCTTGTATTATGCTTTACACTGAGAGCAACTTCTATCTTAATTGTGCAGAAGGGACAGCACTCTGTTACTCTTTCATTTCCTTATATATTTTACCCTTAAGGAAATATGAAACACTTTTCTAGTAATCTTATTTTATGGGTATTATGCAGAAAATTAGTAGGAGAATTGAGGTCCTTTGCTTACCCACCAGACCACTGTCCCTTCTCTCTGTTTCATTTCAATTGAAGTTGCCTAGTCCCCTTCAGAGGGTGGATCTGTATTCAAAAGGATCATCCCAGTTTGCTTATTTAAAAAAAAAAAAAAAAAAAAAAAAAAGGAAATTCTGGCAGTTAGGAGGTGCCCATCAGTGCCCTTGTTGTTGCAGAGGTATGGCTCATCTCTCACCTGGCCTCCCCCTTGCCACGTTTCATCTGCTGTGCAAGCTGGAGGTTGTACAGCAGCTCCAGCAAAACCAAAGCCACAGCTTTTGCTGTTGAGCAGAGCCTTTGAGAACAAGGCATGCAGATGTGTCTGCAGAGCTGGTGCCTTATCCTGGCCCTGTTGGCTGGGCTGAAAAACATGAGAATGAGTTGGTTTTTTATTTATTTAAAACACACACAGACCCCCAACCTCTGTTTCACATGCTCATACTTTACTCATCAGCCATCTCTCACTGTGTGTCTTAAAGGCCCTTCTTAGTCCTATTTATCCTGCTGTAGTTCATCAGCAGGGGAGCAGAAAGAAGGAAATGCATGGCAACTTGCTTTCAGATGTAATTTTTCTCATTAACAATGGCTGTTGGCTGTAAAATGACAGGTCTGAGCCCACGGGGATGTTTCTGTCCCAGCTGTTTAATCACGTTGGACCAGCATTTTCTGTGATTGTACCACCATTAAAGTTATGAGTGGTGCTGCTTGGATGCTGTAGGTTAGCAGGGTGTGTGTTCATGGTGAACTGACTACTCGCTTAGCTTTTGAAAGATCTTCTGTGCAGTGGTAACTTATGAGGCCCCAGAGATCTTGGAGGGGGATGGGAGGAGAAACACAAGTGCCATTCTTCTAGCTATTGTTGCTTTTTATTTTTAGATTTAAAAAGCTTGACTCAGTTCCATCAATGCCACGTTTTCTTAATGCTAACTCATCTTAAGAGTGGGAATGCAGCAAAGTGCTGCCAGTTGTAAAGAGCTGAAAGGCGAAAGCTGTTGCTATAAACAATTTTATTATTACTTTTTAAACTGGGCATTGTTTAATTGATGACTGAGTAAGGCCTTCAGCGTGCTTTTGTATACCAAACTTTGGAAGCATTGCACTTAAGAAGAAAGAAGAGGAATTCCGACCTTCATGTTCCTTCCAAGTCTGTATCATCCAACAAGAGCTCTGGGTGTGCAGCCTGGTATTGTACATGCAGAGATGTGCACTTAATTGTTATGGCAGTGGCTTTAACTAGGTGTGCAGGAGCACGTGTATGGTCTGAGAGTGTGTTGCTCCATGAATGTTACAACACAGCCTTGCGTTGGGTGTTTCCCTTGTTATTGCAGGGATGCGTTACCTCTGTAGAAGTTTTCTGACACTCAAAGTGGTGTTTATGAAATGGAGGACTTGAGGCTTATTTTTAAGGTAAAGTGAGGGAAGTTGTAATAAACGTCATGGTTCATGAGATGCACTTGAGTAAGGCAGACTTCAGAAAATGATGGTAGGAAAGTCCGGACGCATTACCTTTGTGTAATTATAGGCTTTCATGTAGAAAGAAGAAGTGAAACCAAGGTATTGCGATTGAGTATGTTACTAACAAGTGTTTCAGACCTGTGGGTTTAGTCCCAAGTGAACCAGAACACAGAAAGTTTGAAGCTGCGTTGGCAGGGATCCTATACTTTAGACCTGAGCAATGTGGATCTTCTGAGTTCCAGTCTGCATCCCACGTGCTTTCCATGCCCTCGTGCTCTTCACCTTTAATTTCTTCTTCTACCGATTCTCCTTTGTTCTTCTTCCCAGGCTGTGGAGCTGCAAGGCAGGGAGGCAGAGCTGAAGCAGCAAGAGGCCTTCTATAAAGAGCAGTTGGCGCGCATTGAGAGGAAGGTAAGGCAAGTTGTCCTTTGTTTGCGGCCTCTGGGTATGAATGGGATCCGCTGTGGATCTGAGCAGAGAGCCAAGAAGCACCGTGCTGACACCGGATCTGTCAGCACCCTTTGTCTGCCCCCATTCCATATGGAATTAAATGAAAGAGCTGTGCAAACAGAGCCCTGTGAAGATCTCCCGTTTAGAGATAAATGCTTTTTAACTAGATGATTTTGAAATAAAGTTCATAGCAATTCAAACTTTTTTTTTCATTGTGGGGTTTAGATGAAAGCTAGATTTTCTGTGCTTTTTGTTTTGTTAAAAATCCTTGTTAGGTCTCTCTTTCTTAAATCACAAATCTTGCTCTAAATATGAATTAAAGTTGTATTATTAATTGTCCTCTGGGGAGCCCAGCAGTTCAAAGGATGTTGCTGCAGAGCACTGTTTCTTGCTGGATAAGCCTTTGAAATGAACTTGATTTGAAGAGACGCTGTCAAGCATCTTTTAAGCCTGAAATGACCTTTGAAAATCCATTTAGGGATTTGAATCTCTCCCCTAAATGTGGGATTTGCTTCTCTGTTTAATTGTTTACCATGATGAGTTTTTAAAAATTGATGCCATAAAAATAGGAGCAGCCATGCTGTTCCTTATGAACTAATGCAGTTTTTACTTCCTGGCAAAATGAAATAATATTATAAGTAGTCTTTATTTTTTAATAAATGTGGAGAGTAATGTTCTCCAGTTTGAAGCAATTAGACCTCCTGACAGGGAGTTGCATACATCCAATTCATTCTTATGTGACTGAAAAATGCAAAGCAATGTGCAAGGTGGGTCGTAAAGAGATGGAAATCAATCAGCTTTACTACTGCCATGTAGCATCATGGTGAATACGGAATGCAGGAAAATTACAGATTATAGAAATGACAGAAAACTACTGGCACGTCTTTTCCCTTTCTCATTCCTTGCTGCTGCATGGTTGTCCATGCAGCAGTTTGGTTTGTTTAAGCCATGGATGGTAAAACATGCCCACGAGCAATTTCACGTGATACGATTTTGCAACACTTTGATCTATACAGTTCATTAAAAAATAAACGATTAAAACTACCACTTAGTGCTGCATTCAGATTTTAAATTCTATTTCTAGAATAATGGGGATTGTTCAGTGAAATTGCAGACAATCCTGCAGCTATCGTTCTAATTATCACAGTTGTCCATATGTTCATACGCAAAGGGGATTTTTTGCAGTGTCTTGGTCTCACGCTGTGTGCTGCCATTACACTCTTCTCTCCAGATCTGGTCTCACGAGACAAAACAGCAGGGAAAAATTGTGTGTGTCCTTTATGGGCAGTGGAATGGGGAGATGCTTGTGACTGACCTGCGTTGTGCTCCTCTTCAAGGCTTATGTATTTAGTGTTTTCCTTTTCAGATCTGGGTCCTTTATGACTTCTAAACAATGCAGTGTGGGTTTTTTTGTTTGTTTTGGTGCAGGATCGTTTTAGGGAGCAATGTTGCTTGTTCATAGCCCTCTGCAAACTGTGGAGATGCACAGAGACTGCCTTTGAGTTCTTACCTGTCCAAAGAAAAAGTAGATTAAGAAGCGCAAGGTTTCTTTTCTCTCCTGAAACACTGGGAAGTTTCTGGCCCTCAAACACTAGCATCTTGTTCATAATAAAATGGAAGAATGCCTTCAACCGTTAGTCTGGAGTGGGAGGTGGTGGGGGCTAGAAAGGAGAGGAGAGAAATGTACTTGAAACAGTGTAATAAAGCTTAATTGTATTAGTTTTGAAAAAGGTTTTCGATCTCTGTGGATAATTTTATTCCTATAATGGTTGGAAAGATGGAAAACACAGCACAGAGCAATCTTTTTTATTAGCTGTTGCTTTTATATAATTCTGCTTTTATTTGTTGAATACACGCAGACCTTGATGTGTATTTATTTATTTATTAATCCTTGAATTGTGCCCAAACCTTCCACCTCAGGCTTTTATTTATGTCTGTATATAAATACATGTGTAGCATGCATACATTAAGGAAAAAAAAAACAACAAAAAAAAACAAACCAGCAACACAAAACAACATTGGTATATTAGAAAAAAAGGCAAAAGCATCAGAGAGAATGAGTTGAAGGAGAAGTTTCCTTTTTCTACTGTTGCTGGAAGGGATGGCCATCTGGAGCATGGTCACTGCTTGTCTGAAGGTGCCAGGATATGGGGTGGCTCAGCGTGGAGCTAAAAAGCCAAATGTCCTTCTAGGGTCTGTGCTGTGAGGAACTCCCCTTGTCCTCCCCTTTTCCATACGTTCAGTTTGCCTTTGTCCCCAATTCTTCCTGACAACAGAAGTCAAGATGGCAAGTTCTCTAAGTTTGTTTTGAAGGGATTTTCTGAATGGTTGATGGAAAGAACCAATCACCTTCCCGGTAGGATGCAAAGAGCTGCTGTGTTGTTTCTAAGAAGCACACTACTTGTGCCAAAGTAGCTGCTGTGCTGTGTCAGGCAGGCTGTCCTGGTTCTCCTGATGGTGGTCAGCTTACGAAGACTGTGAGGTAAGGTGCACACAACCAGCAAACCCCTTCGAACAATAGAATCCCCTTGGACAATGGCTTTGAGAACTGTCTGAAGAGCTGTCGATTGCTGACACGTGGCTTGCAGCAGAAGTTTATTTTCATTCAGTATTTTTATTTGCCGTAATGGAACTTGGGTCATTGCCAGCATTCTCGTCTCAGCCACTTTTTTCTGCACTTGTTTAGCTCTTTGCCTCAGTATCACGTGGCACTGTGTGCCGTGGGTTAGCTATGTGCACTATAAATCCTTTCTCCAATTTCAAATAGTTCTTGTCCTTTAATATGCCTTATGTGAAGGGGATGAAAGGAGTTCTTCATTAGTCATTCTCTGTAGATTTCTGTTCTGTTCCCTTTTTTACCTTCCCACTAAGCTTAGCAGTCCTCACCTTTTCAGCCTCTGTTTGTATAGGTGATATTTTTCCAGGTTTCTCATTCTGCTTGGTTATCTTTGAACCCTTTACCCTGCAGTTCTGTCTTTGAGATGTATTGACCAGAATTGAACTCAGTAGTTCCCCCGAATGCGGCAGATTGTGTGAATATATTATCCCTTTATTTTGTAATCTCTAAGAGAGTGCTGTAATCTACTGGACAGAACACAGAATTGGAAGCAAAAAACTCCTCATTTTCTAATAGCTGTTTCTCTTTGGGGAGTTTGAAACAATTACTTAGTCCATCTATCTCCGTTACTCCATCTGTAAGATGGAATAGCTTATAAAGGAAGGGCAAAGTGTTGTGAAACAGTAAAGCTATACAAAGGCTAAAAAGGTTTTGCATGAGATGAACTACAGGTGTACCTTATTTCAAATAGATCTTAAACTGGATTTTGCCAGACAGCTTTTTATTAAAATTTTCACAGGAAAGGGCATGTATTAAGAAATAACTGCAGTGTTTCTTTTGGGTTTTTCCCCACATTTTCCCCACATCTTCTATTAAAATTCTGGAAGAAGAAAACCTGGGCGTTCATTTTATTGTTCCATACTGACCAACAATGGCTGCCCAGAGACTGAGTGCAATATCAGGGCAAGTATATGTGATATCTGCTCCAAATGCTTTCTCAGCCTGTGGTCGTTTGTGACTCAGGTACTTCCTGAGATGTCTGTGTGTTTGCTAATCCTAGATGGATTGCTATTTTCCATAGTCTAGCCTCTTCTTGAGCAGTTCCCCACCCAGCTGTATGTTGTGTGAACTCTGTGCTTCCTTCTGTGTGTTTTGAACAGAGATTTTGTACCTGTTAATCTTGTTGCCCTTTCCTTATGAGAGCTGTGACACTAAGTTCTTGCCTCCCTTTATGCCCCTCGTGGTTTTGTAGATCTGTGTTTCTTGATGCTATCTCTATTCAGGCTCAAACATCCTCATTCCCAGGTTTTTACCTGTGGAATTCTTAGCATGCTTAAATGTGACCAATCAGGATGGTTAGAAAGGTTTTCACCTCTATTCAATCATCCTGGAGAGATGGGAAGCAGAACTGCACACGTAATGATCATTATATGCGGATATGCCTTGAATTTATGTGGTAGCCTTATGAGAACTGTCATTTGGTTCTGTTTCTTAGGGAATGCTGAATGATTGATTTGCATTTCTGACTTCTGTTGAGCAAATGCCACGCACTGCTGCTTCCAGCACTCAGCTCTGAGTGCAGATTTGGACACATGAAGTAGCTGTCCCAGGATGGATCCGGTAATACAGTTTCTTACTGGGAGATGCTCTTTCTATCTGCCCTTTGTGTCAGGTTGTTAGGGTTTGTGTACGTGTGAAGGGCTGTCATCTTTTTATACTCCTTCTAAAATAAAAATAAGTTCCAAAACATTTTATTGAACAACTGCTTTGTGGAGGATTGGGATACTGGCCATGCTCTTAAGCTTCCCAACTTTAGTTCTAGCAGTTCATTGTAGGTGTGGGTTTCAGTCTTTTGAGCTCTTTGGTAGTTCTTGTTCTGAAGTAAGTAGCTGAAGTATTTCTGTGATCGAGAAAGATGCAGGAAGCGAAGCCTTTGAACTGACCACTTCTTACATGGCCATATGTAAGTGCCAGGAGTTTGGAAGTGATGATATGGACCTTCTGTTCTGGCCCTGCTTGCAATGTGGCTGTCTCATCTCCAATAAATAGTCCAGTAATGAGACCTGGGTACTGTGGTAGGAATGGTTAAACGTTTTTAACTCTAACTTGAAACGATGGTTTTACATTATATCCATGCAATTTGGAGTTGTTTCACTAAAAGTGGGTCTCATTTCAACTGTTACAAATGAGATTTTTTTTTTTACTGTAGAGTTTCCCTGGGTAGAGTGGATGAGAGCTGGGCCTGATAACTCTGAAATGAAAACCTTAGAAATATGCAGTTTGGAGGCTTAAGCTGATGTTGTTTCAATCCTGAATGTGTTACTGATAAACAGGGGCAGCAGGAGATGGAGGGAGCTTGTTTCAAGTCATTAGCATACATACTGTCCAGAACTGGGATTTATGT